GCCTCGTCCATACCGTGGGCTATGGCAGTCAGAGCGTGAAAGTTCCGATAATTCATATAAACGCTTCAAGGGATATTAGCAACGAGTTGAAGGGGAGACTTGAGGCAACTTACCAAAGCAAATTCAACCAGCATGGTATGGAGCTCAGGTCGTACCTGAAGGCACTCCATAACTTCTTCACACCGATCATTCCAAGACAGATTAAACTGTTGCAGGCTAGATTTTTTCTCGAAGAGAATATAATCTTGAAATGATCTCAAGTCTTTTCGCGCGGTTGAATCGGCCAGGTCGGCCAACGATACAGTGGATGCCGTAAGCGCATGGAAGAACGAAATGTCGGTCCGGAACTCAACCGCCGTATTGATGTCCCGCTGTTGGTGATATGTACGCTGATATCGCACGTCCAAGATGCCAATTATATCGCGAAGGGATCCAATGACAGGACGATCAAAGAGACGCGCAAGAGGGTTGATGATGAAGCTGGTATCTACGCAGTTTCCATCCCTGCAGCGAATGCCACTCGATATTACTGAGTGGGTGAACCCACCAATATCGGAAGCAGCCTGCCCAAAGTTAGTACGGAAGTCAAACAGAGCGCAAGGTGACTCACCTCCAGAAGATGGCTCTTAATCTCCTCCTTGTCAGAACATCGCTGAAGACGGTAGTAGAGTCGGACAGCGATTATGTCATGATGAAGAAGAAAGGAGTCTATCAAGTCCACCTCCTCTCCCAGTGCTTTTCGGACCCAAGCAGCAAAAGGGACGTGTTGAAATAGTGACCAGCTGTAATTATCAATCGCTCTCGTTACGGCAGACACATCTTGTATATCCACTCCTTGCAGAGGGTTTCCGATAGGGAGCTGAATTCTTGCGATGTCTTCCGAACGCTTCTCCAACCACGACATCAAATACTTGGAACTCTTTGTATCCATGATGAACAAACAGATCTAATCGCTCATTGAGAAACAGATGGATCCTTCAGAATGAGAGGAGTAAATGAAATCCAGCCCGTCATAAAGACTTAGGGAGAATGCCCGTCTGCCCAACATACAGTAAAGTCAGGAGACAAGGTGTACAAAAAAAGAAGCTAAGATTGAGACTTTTTTTCTAATGCAGTAGATATCACATTTTTTGCACCGAGAATGCTTCAGGGTTTATGGGGTGCAAGGAACTTTTCCTAATCGGGACTTATATGGGTGTTACATGTAAGTCCTGTTTAGGAAGACCTCTACGCTTGCCCCTCGGCACTAGCGGGAGAAACAAAGCCGCGCACAGGATGCATGGTCGCTTGGATCTTGGATCTTGAACCGGTGCACTTCTGATCATTAATTACCTACCAATGTCATACGAAACGCAGGTGGAGCATCTATATTAATTCAACAACTTCTCTCTCCAAATCTTGACATGAAATCAAACGAGGGTTTTCCTACATTTTGATCTCTTTCCCTTCCAGGCCCGTTCGCTATAAATCCCAATCCACCTCAAAGAAGATATCTCTATTCTATACCGCAGGTCTTCTTCATTATGGCAGATGTGGATCCCGCAAAACCGCCCGTCGAGGCTCCGAAAGTAATCCAATCCGGGGAGCAAGCGCCACCAAACACGGCATCTGACACTTACTATCTCATTCGTTACGATTGCCCAATTGGCCCAGTTCAGTCAGTTGTTGCTGAATGGCGTGTTATCAATAAAAATTCCCTTTTAACAGGATCACGTATCGGGGAATATAAATATGAAGGAAACAATGTTGCGCGGCCTCGAGCGCCGGATTTCCTTGCAAATGAGCTTAAGACCTGTGCTCTAGGGTTACTTATGATACCATTTTGGTTAGTGCAGCTGTCACTATATTTAATGCTGATACTAATAATCCTCATCTAGTGCCACGACAGAGACAGAGTTACAGTTAAACAACAACTTCACGGTGGAACATTGTATATTGTGAGCTTTCCTTATGATAACCCTCTTATCCAGATAATCAGCCTGCTAACAATTTATCCAGATTGGTTGCCGTGTACTCGAAAACATTTCCCACCACAGAAGTTAAATGTCTGCCTGACTCCGCCGAGTTTTTGAAAATTACCATCAATATGGCATCGATTTTCATAAATATAATGGAGGGAGATGGGCTGTCGTATCACGGGCCGTGGAAGAGTGATATCCGAGAACTCGCCCTCAAGATACAGAATGAATTGGGGATGAGTCATTACTTTATGAATGTATATGGCCCGAGAATGTGCCCGACAGAGAAAAATTCTTTGGCAATTATCGAAGCGTTCCTTCACAAAACATTAGTTCCAGTGGACAGGACTGACTGGAAACATGTTGCACATGTGTATGGAAACGTCTGTAAAGAATTTCGGATTGAAAAAGAGTTTACAGAGGCAATTACAGCTTCACTACAGGGTACAGTTCTTGATGAAAAGAGAAGAGCTTACTTGCAGCCTCTGTTGTAACAAGCAGGGCTATTTCATTGAATTTATTCATTACCCCTTTTTTGCCCTTCCCTTTTTCAGTTATTCTCTAGAAAGGATGATGTGGATGTCATATCTAGCACATCTCAATTGACATGTTTGTACCTGAAATGTTAGAGTTGTAATAATGCCCTAGGGTATACCGGTCATGTAACTGTTGCGCGCTGTATCCTGGTCTTCTCTCGTAGAGGCCTGTATATCGCTATCATATCTTTTTTACTCCCCCATTTCAAACAATGCAAAACGAGACTAAAACTACTGTGGTGTCCAAAAATACCCCAGACTACACGCTATCGTGTTGTGCCAGCCCTATGATTGACTGAAACTTCATCTTTTCTGCCCCCCAGGCGCCCGCGGTTGGAGCCTGCAACTTCCAAAGGATACCATGTCAGTGCAGGGATGACAGTGATATCAATTCGCTAGGGATGTTGCACGCCAAGCTCACGATTTATGTGGGCGATATTCAATACCAAGGAACTTTCCTAACTAGGACTTATATGGGGTGTTACATGTAAGTCCTGTTTAGGAAGATCTTGGCATTTGCCCCAGTAGTAAATCTTCGCCAATCAGCACCAGCAGGTGAAACAAGGCCACGCATGATCGCTTGGATCTTGGACAAGTGGAGACCACCTGCAGGCATATTCACCTATCTTGGTGGAATATCCATGCGCTAGTGCCAAATGACAGCAACTAATGCATGATGGGATTATTGTTTGGTTCGCTGGGCATTACTGACGCCTGCTCTCTCAGTTTTTGGGGCCTTCCATCTTCCGGATGCTGAGTGGTGATAGTTTTGGCACCGGAGCACCGTGCACGGCTAGATCTATATACTGACAGGGGATGGCCCCTGCTGCGAGTACTAAGCCAAATGTTTGGTTCTCGCTTGCTTTGGACAATCGAATATACTCTTGACACCTCATTGCTGACCCGGGAAAATACACGGCTAGAATCAAGGGATCGGCCCGCGTGGCTTATGCAGGTCCTAATAACCGCCTTGCTGCGTCTTTCGATGGAAGATGGCCCCTGGAGCAAGTACATGCATGCGCAGTTTTGCAGGCCAGCCATTCACACTTATTACTCACCAGGAGGAAGTTGCTGCATGAATTGTCATTTAGGCCTGCCTGAGCTTGGTTGCCTTGATGTACATGGGCCCTGTTACCATGCCTTAATGTCAAGCCGGTATACACAGCTGAAAACGAGTGGGCTGTCAAAAATTACTACGCCGCTTGACAGCCCGTGTTTGCCGTTTGTTTTTTTAATCATTTCCTGGTTTTGGCTGGTTATCCGCAAGCATAAAGGGATAGGAGCGGCCCTTTTAATATACTTCACTGTCTGGTCACAAGCGACATCTTGCCATATCTTTCTCTGCTCTGACTCAACCACTCACTTCTTATTAAGGCGAGCAGTGAGCCAGCATGTTCTCCGATCAATCAACGAGGCAATTGTCTGCCTCTCCTCCACTTTCTTTCAAACCCCACTACGTTCAATATCCACGATATTTTGCTCTTCAATCTCATATCGTGGATACTGAGGAACGTACTGATGCTCATGAGGATGAGGTTGAAGAGCAGATGTCATACAGCGGGAACCCAATGGCATCTGATCCAGTGACACCGGCCCTTGAAGGATTTCCAAATGTCAAGGTGTTTGATCAGCTCCTGGAGAGGTAATAATCACTACCATCTATTCATCCCTGGAAAAGGTCGCTGACAGGTTTATTAGCTATATTTTAAGTTCACCTTTAAAGACTTTAATAACCTCAAACGACGCTGAACAGATAAGAATGGTACTCCTTAATCCCAAAGACACATTCATAGAGTCAGCATATTTTCGGTATGAATGTTGGAATTTCATTTCTTTTTAGATTGAGATGTAATATTTGTGTATAGTTATTTTAAAATCTGGGACTGATATATGATTTGAAGGAATTGGGTGAAAAATTCGTTCATGCTCAGCAATAACCAGACACCCAAGGTATGTTTTGAAAAGTCATATGGAATTATGTGCCCTCAGACTGATGATCATCTAGGGCAAAGAATTGATCTGCCGCGAAGGGAAACCCATAGTAATTCAAGAGAAGCTGTTTAAAGTTCTGACAAGAGCACATCAGCAATGTCAACACGGAGGCAGGGATAAGACTACAGCACAAGCTAGAATGACATATTCCGGGTACACCCATTACAGCTACAGGCCAAAATTTTCCCCTTGGAAAGGATCAAATAAACTAACTGCCGAATTAACAGAATCCCTGCAGAACTAGTTGCACAATACATAAAAATATGCCCAACATGCAGACCAATATTATCTGAACCACCAGTACTGGCTTCTAAAGGATTCCCAGAGGTTGTTGAGTTTGACAAGCGCATGGCAAGGTACCTATATCAATTCAACACTGAGAGAGGCTACTGATATGTTTATTAGTTATATCAAACATTTGCCTGATGAATTTAAGGATAAAGCTACAATATCCTGGGGCATAGCTGGGAAGATTGGAAAGACGCTCCTTGGTGACACTACAGAACCAGTCGAGTTTCAGTATGCATGTTAAAATTTCAACCTTCATGAATAGTTGTTTAGATGCTGACTTAATGTTGAAGAGATTGGTCCAAACAGATGTTCACATTAGGGCTGATCAATGGCAAGCGTTCCGTCTTCCGGGGAGGGAAACCCATTGCAATTCAAGAGAAGATATTTAAAATTCTGACAATTGCACATTGGAAATGTGGACATGAAGACCAGAAAACAACTTCAGCAGAAGCTAACAAATTGTATTCTTGGTGAGTATATTCATTGCCGCCTGGGGATATTTTGAAAAGATAATCTTGGCTAACTTCAGAATTAACAGGATTCCTGAGGAACTAATTCGTGAATTCATTAATATATGCCCAACATGCAGGCTGAAATTCACTAGACAGTTCGTGTGTGAATATGATGGATGCAAAAAAAGCTATCAACAGCTGGACAATCTGAGATGGCATCAGTTGAATCGTACGCATTATACTTTCCCTCCTATTGATTCTTTCTATTGCTAATGTTAGCAATAAGACAACCCTAAGAACATCTATCATCGCGACTTCCCTAAATGGCTTCAATGTCACAAGTCCGCAGACCCTCTGGCAATGAAGTTCCAGGCAGGGTCCTACCACTGCAAACTCATCAATCCTTCTAGAGGCAAGCCTTGCAATTCTGCCCTTTCCTGTCCTCGCCATCTTAGAAGGCATCTCAATATAGTCCACAACGCCCACAAGCAAAAGGTGCGGTGCCGTTTATGTACAAAGGAAAATACCTTTTCGAGCAAGAATAGCTTGGCACGGCACATGCGGGTTCTCCACCCCGATTGGCCAGGCAGGTAGAAACGCAAGTTTTTTTGCCACCCTCAAATGCTATTCAAAAAGAAAAAAAGAGAAAAAAAGAGGGAAGGAATTAAACAGGGAAGGAATTGAATGAAAACCAAAGAAACATCTATGCCAGTTTTGTGCAGGTGTGGCCGAGACTCGTGTCGGTCATGTTGCTAGTATGGTCGTAGGCGCCGTTTTATATCCCTTAAGCTGAATGCCACATCCAAATACGCGAGAGGGTTTCTGGCGGCTTGGCTTGTGAGGTTACGATGTATTCCAACTCTGTGATAACTGTCAGAGACCAAGTCATAAAGAGATCGATGTTACTTACCCATTCTGCTGGCAAAATGATCTGTATTTGTAGGCAAAGTGGGCTGGTTCTATGCCTTCAGCCCCCGTTTACGCTAAGGGTCCCCTTTCCAGACAGATGAGGAGTGACCGTGAAAGACCACACCGTTTTACGGACTCGTAGGCTGCTAGGGACAGTTTCAGGATCGGATGGATGAGGGCGTATTGAGCAGACAAAATTTGACTAACTTTCAAAGGCCGGTCGTGCGCCAGACATCTTCATATACAATCACCACGGACATGGAAGCCGGGGAGATCCGTAGAAACAGGCCTCACGCGGTGGGACCAAAGAATAAATACAGGCAAGGAGAAAAGGGAAGATCGAGCGAGGGAAACAAAGTGGGAGGAGGGCTGGCTTTATATGCCTACAGACCTACGCTGCCGCTCCCCCACAAGACAAATTGAGAGCAACCGCAAGTAGACCGCACCATTTATGAGATTTGTTGGCTAATGAGATAGGGACTGGTTCAGGGATTATTTGAGGGTGTATAGAGCCGGCTCGGGCCAGCTGGAGAGATAGAAACGGTGCTTACAATACAGATCGTCTTCCACGCTTTCTGTTGATGTGCATCTAGAAACGGGGTTTACAATAACTAAACTTTCATAGACTATTGAACTGTTCAACGCGGAAAACACAAAAGTACAGACAATCAAACGCAATTCATAAGATTCAGCGTTATATCCAGCAGCGTTTGTCATTAGATACAGTTACCGAGAGAGAAATATGAGAAAGAACAAATTCATCTCTTGCCGACGCATCTCACGCCATATTAGACGAACAATCCCCGAACATGGAAACCTCCCTCCCGCCGGCCTAGGGAACAAATGTAGCCCGTTTGTATATCCTGGAATGCCACTGGGTGACTGGGCTCATGTATATGAGTTCATGTTTTCTGCTGCACCTGGACCAGTGCAGTCGCGATCGAATTCTTCACTGTAGGCACGGGCGTCTTCGATGTGGTCAAACCTGACTGCTCCTTTCCCGGCTAGCGCACGTGCGACTCCAACAATGTTTTTGATCTAGGGCTTGGTTAGTAATAGCGATCGAGAGGGCACGGGACTTGATCCCTCACCTGCCGTCCGTTGAAACTCCTCTGCGCCAGTTTCTCCAGGTCTTTGTCCGAGATCTCAGCACCAGCCCGTTTTAAGAATGTCATCCAGACCCTGGTCATGGCTTGCTTGCTCAATTCGGTGTACTTGAGACCAAAGTGGATCCGGCTCTGCATCGCAGGGTCCAATGTGGTGAGTCGGTTAGTGGTGAGAAACATAATTCCTTGGAAGTATTCGAGCAAGCGGAGAAATATGGAAACCATGCCGTTCTGCTGTAGGCTATTGGTGCTACGATCGCTCAAGAAGACGTCAGCCTCATCCAGGAGAAATATCGCGCGCCAACGACGAACAAGGTCAAGAATTCGAGATAGATGCTCTTCCAGCTGGACCGCGTCGGTACCGAGGTCGCCAGCACAAGCCTACATTTGTTAGGAATGAGGTTAAATTTCTTTGTCACCGGAGAAACGAACCGTGTATAGAGGCCTTCTCACGACGGCAGCGATGCCCTCTGCGGTCAACGTTTTGCCAACTCCCGGTGGGCCGCTAGGTGAAAGAGCTGTCAGCTGCGTAGAGTTTGGCTAAACAATGTAGGATTTATGATAGAAGAAACGTACTGCAGCAGGAAAATGAGTACGTTTCCCTTTCCACTCACGATGTCGTCGAACGAATACGTCTCCGAACTATAGCTTTCTAACCATCCGACCAGATCCGCCTGTTTCTTTTTTTTTGGATTTCAAGAGACTCGAACGATGACTCGTCCCAGTCGATCGGCTTGATGTTCCGCCACGGCAAATTCCGCTGTACACCATGTTGAGCTTAACAAGGACCATCGAATGGAACACGCAGTACTAACCCCATATCCTTTTACTCAGACTGAATCCCAGAACTGTCGGATTGCAGAGGATGTATTGCTCCCCAGTCATATTTTTCGGGTCCAGCTCCCGATGTTTCACTGTTTTCTGCTCCTTCTCCCTCTCGAAATCGGCATCGTACAAACTGAAGCCAAGAGAATCACGGGCTTCTTTTTTGACACGAGGTAGTCCATAATTCGGGTTCATCTCCTTGAAGGAAGATGCGTCGATGACCACACGGCCCTTCAGGGGGAATTTAAATGGCCCCTTCTCTCTCTTGACATGCGCGAGACCGTTGTAGTCACAGTGGTTCGTACTCATGAGGTCGACGAATTTGCGGCCTCGCGCGCCGAGACTTCGTTTGACTTCAACTTGATCCTTGTGGAATTCCAGGGGTAACACTTCAAGATCACTGATCCTTTTGGCGGACTGGAAAAGAGGGATCTTGAGCACCGAGGTTACCTCTCCGAATGCTTTTCCATCGTAATCCAACGAGCGACATTCGATCTCGAAGGCTAGCCCCTCTCCAGGGCGAGCCGCCACTCGGCCAGAATCATATATAAAGCATTTCGGCTGCTCCGAGCTAGAGTCGGTCGTGAAGATCAGCTCGTTCGGCTTGAACAGAGCCCAGAGGAGGGGAAAGGTAATTTCACCATGCTGAAGGAGAGGATCCAGTCTCTCTTTTGTGGCCGAAAAGTGTTTGTTTAGGAATGCAACGAGCAGATTGAGATGCTGACGTGCGATCGAACCGGATTTAAGTTTTTGACAGTCACGTTCAAGATCTGGCAGGAACAGGAACAACACATTCGGCGACACCTACTATTATTAGCTTCTGAATGATCGAAGAGAACTGGAACAGGATAGTTCCCACAGACGGCTTGTCCTCCCTCAGGATGACGGCCTTTACATTTGCCAGCACACGTCGCAAGATCTCCACTAGTTCAGGCGACTTGATGTCAAGGTGGGTCGTAGCAGCCTTGTTATCTTGATCTTGACCGGGGTCAGTTGTCAATATCAAAGCGATGAGGGAAAGACTCACCGAACTTAAGCCGAACGACGAATAAGTACTCTTCATATTTGTCGTCCCCATCAGACTGAGTATCTGGGTTTTCGATAATCTCGTACTTGTGGCTCCGTGTGTTCCAGCTGGAGGGCGATTAGCGGAAGGAGTCAACAATTGCAGCGGGAACTCACACTTCTTTAACCGTTACGAACTCAAGCTTCGAGGCTCGACTTTTCGCATCTTTCACTTTTTCCAACTGTGGGTTCTCGGGCTTCTTTGCCGACGTGTTGGCTTTCGTGCCCTTGACTTCGTGAAGGGCTTCTATGAGTTCTACAAAAAGATCTTTCAGTTCGTTTCGTGTGGCAGGCTTCTGAATAACACAATGCTGGGGACTTTCATCGATAGGGGTGCATGGAGGCGTTTGGGCCGACGGGAAAGTCGCAGGGGCCTTTCCATTGGGCTTCATTGCTTTAGGCATGGCAATAGTTTATGTATGGATAAAGAAGTCTTAGAAACGGGATTGGGAAACTGGCTTATTGGTGTCTTTGAGAGTCTCGAATGTCTGTTTGTTGCCTCAGGATTTGGGGGGATTGTGCCTCCTTATATGCCATTCTGTCGACTCTCCTGGCACCTATTCTTTGTGGTCTTCCCCATTCCGCTTGGACATGGCCGTCGCTCTCCCATTTTAAGGATGCATGAAACTGTGCCGCAGGATACATGGTCTCGACCTCGTCGACATGATATCGATCTGAGAACCCGTTGGAGGAAGCTTGCCGTCTTCTCCTCTGCCTAGTCAATCTGCACCCATCTAGACTCCTCATTTGGACACAACCATCCGGGTTCATCATCGTGAACTACATGGTTCGCTGTCTCTAGACCTAGAACTATTGGCGGTCGATCTATCATCGACTGATTAATGGAAGTGTGCTGTGCCTGAGTGGTTGAGATAATTGAAGAGAATCTTGTCGTAGCTTGCAGTAGTGGGACTGAGCTGTGTAGCTGCATGAGAAGCAAATACTCGTTTTTTCATAGCGCTCGCGTGTGGGGAAATACGGGAAATACGGGAAATAAAGGAACTTGGGGAAATGAGGGAAATTTTAGGCAATAGAGGAGTTAAGGGAAGTATGTCAGCTGACAATGGTGGACAGCAGCCACATGACCTGATCTTGAATTCGTGTTGGGCTCCATTTCTGCCCGACTCTCAGTTTACCCCTCGCTGGAAAATGGGTCCCCATCAACATTGACAATCACCTTTAAAAGGCATTCGTCTACCTACGTAAATCACATTCTCGATTTTACTGCGCACCATCGCAATACCTTGACTGGACAAGTCCACTTACTGTGATATGACGCAGGCCGTGAGTGAACAAACTCTTGTATGTGCATCTCAACGAATTCTTGACAAATGCTTATAATTCACAGCGCACACGTTGGAAACCTCTAACCGTTTCTGCGACCTTTTTCGACGATTGCAATAAGCATGCAATCAATTATATTTTACCCGAGAACTACGAAAGAAAGCTTTATTGCTTCGACTGCGAAAGCATCGAGTTTCAAAATGAGAAAGGCGAAAGAATATGGGGAACAGAGGGAGAAGGAGAAATGGACAGCCTTCCTTCAAAAGTTGGCGTTTACATTGTCAGAGGGAAATCAAGAGTCGCATGAGGATGATCAAAAATTTATGCGTAAAGCTTGTTAGCTATGTATGTACCAGCGATGAAACCTATACGCAGACGGAATATGCCATTGTGAGGTTGTTGTGGTTGTACTTCGATGGAAACGCAGTCTGTTGTGTCGTGAGATGAATCAGCTTTCTCCCATTCCCGTAGCTGACTTTTCTCAATTGCGTTGCCAATACGAGGACCGAAGATTGGGGAAATCGCTGAAACAGATGCCTCTTGAAAGAAGTCCTGATTATTATTTTTCTGCACGCATTCTTCTGAGGAGTAGAGCGAGGCTAGAGAAAGTATTCTCTCGCATGCCGACGGGAATAGAGTCTTGATTAGGTCTTCAGTAAGACAAACTTCCACTGAAATAATCGCGTCCTGATAGTTCTGCTTAGGAAGTTTCATCCCGACACATTCTGTTGTCCGAAGAGTTTGACAGTTCACTTCAAGTGTCCGCCGAGCAGATTTCTCGATGCTACAGCAAATATGCTCGCTGAAGATATTGTGAATAGCACTCGAATCGGCCGCTTGATAAGCCCAATAACTGCCGGTCTCTGTACTGGTAATCGGCTTTTGCGTTCGATAAGAGACTTGCGACAGGTTAGCAGGCCGAAGATAGTTGGCAAGAAAATTCTGACAAACCCTGAGGGGGGAACACGGATTCTATCAGTAGCTGGAACAGAGGGTTTTGACTGAACATTCGTTTCCTAGCTATACTTTCCAAGGTTGCTCGAACATGATCCCCAAGATCAATCTTTTCAGTCAGGCCATGATTTTGGCGAAACTCGGTAACATTAAATCTCTCGCAACCCTTTGGTGTAATAGCCAATATGAAAGGGATGAAAATGTGTGGGTAGTCCTCTAGAATCTCTAAATACACTTTCTGAGCTTTCTTTTCTTTGTATTTTACTCTGTATTCTTCTTTAGAACGAGGTGTCTTGCCGCGCTTTTGAACTCCCAAAGGTTTAAAGGTTATGATCAATCGTTCCTCAAGGATTTCTCGATAGAATGCAGGTATAGTTCGCCGTCGATTAATCTCCTGCAAGATATCGAAAACACGAAGAGACCTAGAAAACACCATGCTGTGATTGAGTGGGCAAAAGTTGTTTTGGCGGGGGGGAATAGCTTAGTGAAAGAAGCTTGGAAATAGCGGAAGTAGAGGTAATAAAAGGATAACAGGGAAATAGAAGAGGGAAAGGGAAATAGGTGAAAGAGGGGAAATGGACGAGGAGTCAGCACCAATATATCACTTTGTCGCAGTGCTAGGTAGGTAGGATTTGCAACAAGACCTTGGGTTCGAATAATCCCAGCTGGTTGGCGATTCCGGCTGGTCTGAACAGGGAAGTTGGATCCTGAGCCAAGTAAATTAACTCGGGACGTTTTATTTACATATCATGTGCCGCTCCTTCGTATCCAGTGTTGGGGTATTTACCGATCCCAACAACCGCAACTATCACATAAAAAGAATGCCCGAAAATAAACCCAAACGTAAGTCCTCGCGCCTAGATGACGATCGTTGCACTAGCCGGGAGACTGGGAGCATCTATTCAGGACTCAGGCCACTACCACCCACTTGGCTTCCAGCTACCAACGACTGGCCCTCAGTAGCAATAATTTCCGGATAAGCGCCTGAAGCGCATTCTACGATCCTATGCAAAAGTTGATTATAAGAACCTCTGCCGCCTTCTGACCTCGATGCATACTCGCATGATAAAAGATCCAAAAATTTATGTTTATGACCATATGCCTAGTTCAGTGACCTCCAACCCGTCTCGCAAGCGTCAGTATCCTGAGCCCCATCCATCCGACAGGTCACGGTTTCGGAAAAGGCAGAAGCTTGACGCGTCGGCATCAGCATATTGGGATAACCTGTCAAAGATTTGGTTAACCAAAGATGCATTAGAGGAGTTGGATCGAAGAAACAGCCACCCGAAACCCACCCAGAACCATCATAGACCTATCACTCGACAATTTCACACTGAGCTGAAGAAGTGCTGTAATCTTTTTCAGTTTGCGCCGGCCTTTCTCCGTGATTGTCCACCCGCTTGTTCAAAACAGATAAAGAGGGTTTCCAGATTAGGAGGACCTGACCTAACTGACCTTAGAAATGTACGTAACTACAAATCAATGCAGATACATCATTGCTGAAAATATTGCCCAGTTTCCTAAACCAGAAAACTTCCTCGAAAGAGCAATGAGCTCAAGGTCCCGGAGTAGAAAGCGACGCGCAGGTTCTCCTCCATCAACAAGCGCAGATACAAGGGGTACCACCAAGTCCACGAGCACCACACCCTATAATCGTAACTTCCAGCAGAATCTAATTGATCATGGCGTTTACCCCGACGGATATGAATATCCGGATGGTCAAATACCAGCAATGCCAAATAACTGGGAGGAGATCAATGTAACACTAGCTCGACCCCGGCCCTCCCTTTCCCCATCAAAGTTCTCCGATGAACATTTCCGGAAATTCAAACGAGCAGATACCCACGCATCTAAAGAACAACCGGTCACAACGTCAGTGATTCCTATCATCGAAGGTGATGTTGATGATCCCAAATGCGCTGGAGGGGGATACCCGCTTGGAAACCTTGCCCCCTTAACTGATGGCACACTGGCTCAGGCCAAGCCAGATCACTTGTACGGCGCGCGTCCTGAACAGCTGAATCGCCAGATCCGCAATGAACTCCGCGACTATATCATCCCATCAACACAAGATGATCTTCCGATTGTACCGAATTTCTTTTTGGAAGCAAAAGGCCCCGATGGATCCTTGGCTGTGGCTACACGGCAGGCTTGTTATGATGGCGCACTAGGAGCTCGGGGTATACACGCTCTCCAGTCATTCCAACAAGACGGATCAAGGTCACCTTACGACAACAATGCTTACACTCTTACATCAATTTATCATGGCGGTACACTCAAGCTGTACACAACTCATCTCACTGAGCCCAACGGCCCAGGCCATCGCCCTGAATATAGTATGACCCAACTCAATACTTGGGGCATGACTGGGAACTTGGAAACGTTTCGGCAAGGAGCATGCGCATATCGAAATGGTCGGGACTGGGCAAAGGAAAAGAGGGACGAATTTATTAGGACGGCAAATGAAGCAAACTCAAAGGCTCAATCTCAGCTACTTCATTCAACATCTCAGAGCCAGACAGCTTCCGAGGCAGCTCCTACCATGGACGACTCTGATGTATCGACGTTGTCTGACGAAGCGGAGTATTCAAATGCGCAATGGAGCTTCGCAGCTACAATGGAAGAAGGGGAAGAAGAGATTCTTAGCAGAAATGCCAAGAAGCCGAGAGTTAGTTCCATTGGTCAAGGAGCGGGTAACAAGACTACTCACTGTCCGAATTGATGACAAATAGGGCTTGTCATGCACAGGTGGGGACCATCTCGCACCAGGCTGATCAAAGTCATCACAAGAATAGCATAAATGATTCGATTTGGGGGAGAAGAAAGGGGGGTAGCTCAACGTCCTAGCATGCAGACTTCGGCCCCGCAGGTTTCTAGGAAGGCCATGCTTGCGAGGCACCAGAGCCGTGGGCAGAGGCCTCTCACGTGTGCCTGGGGGAAGGGCGGATTCTGGATTCTGAGTGCCAAGAATTGGGGCCCTTGGCTCAGTTAGAGAGGGCTTGGAGTGCCGCGGCGCCCACGGCTTGAAGTTGTCACATGAAACGCGAGGGCCATCTGGATAGGGGGGCGACGCAATCGATATTATACTGACTTTGTCTCGGCTTTATAAGTTGATACTGATCAATCTTATTTTCCGTGGGACTAAAAGGACAGTTAGAAGGAGTGAACGTGCAGGGCGGCAACAGGGAAAAAAGAAATCAATTGCCCAGTAGAGGCATCGAAGCACACAACACCACGAACAAACCACAGTCGACAATTATATTTTCACTGGTCATTCATTCTCTTGGCTGGCCGTTCCCTATCTCTGGAACCTAATGGACGTTTTGACAATCAAAGAGGCGGAGATATCAGCTAGCACAAGGAAATTTTCCAATCTAACTTGTATTTGAAATAACGACGCTAAAAATGCGTGCCCCACAGCCGTTAAAGTACTATGTAGTCCAACCCTAAGTTAAGTAGCAAGCATTCCAAGGTAGTTTCGTACCTCAGAGCTAATCCTGCCACTTTGGGGGACACCGCAGCACCAGCACTTCATTGATGGCCTGGGAAAATTATACACAACAAGAAGAGGGCTCGCATATCGCACAAAATAAATACGCAAGAATGACCATCAGTACGCCCCTCAATATAACGCATGACCTGATCCTGTAGCAACAAGCACTCTTAAACTCTCTGAATTACAAATGAAAGAAAAAGCTATCCAGAATTATTCAAACACTCTCCAATCCTGTTGCTCTGCTCTAGTATCGATCTTGCCTTATCATCATCTACCATCATATCTTCTGCGACAAATTTTGTCAGAACTTCAGGCACAAGCACCTCCTGAATATACATTGCAACCCCATACTTTTGAACAAGGCTCTTCTGTTTGGAGGCCTCTCTGAGATCGCTTGCAAAAAGATATGCAATTTCTTCTCCGCTAATATATTTATTAGCATAATGACATTAATACGTTCTCCAAAATCCTAAGCTTACTTACAGAATATCGGATGCTTTTGGTCCGTAATATCCGAGGGTATGGTAACGCGATCGTATTACGCTGTGTGATTTAATCTTGGCTTCCATAGAGCCCTCGAAAAACGATTGTTCGTTTGACTGAGTGATTTTTTGAACGAAATGCTTTTGCTGAAGGAGACGGTCTTTAAGTGCACTCCAGTCAATTGTAGGGTAGCCACGCTTCAACCATTCATCATTGGCCGCCTTTGCTTCGTGCGCTCGACAAAGATCGTACTGCAGCCTGAATGGGAGGGGGGGCGTGCACTTGATAATGCTCCGATATAGAGTTATGTCGACCTCAGCGCCGCAGATGTGGCATCGTGCATAACCGAGATTTTCCGTCACGGGATCGATGGAGATCACGTCGGCGAAAGCGACTCCAGGTATCCTTTTTGGTTTGCGAGGACGACGAATCCGTTTCGGTTTGTGAGATATTCGGGGAACTTTAAAACTAAAGTCTGGATCCGAACCCTCAGCATCGCAGGCTTTAATAAAAATCGGAGGGCTTTCTGCTTCCGCTTCCGACCTCGGACTGGAGGAAT